CAACCCAAGAAAACTATTACCCGACGCTGAACACCTGCAAGAACCCATTTAAAACGAGAAGCTGCCAAAGTGGAGGGCGCTGGGGCGAGGCCGGTGAAAGCAAGGGCAGGTGCACCTGAGCTTTTGATAATGAGTCTGGTAAAGGCCTTACTAGGGTTTCGACTTAGGGCTTGGATTTTGCTTTGCCGGGGTCACGGCGAGATTCAGAGAACAAGAGGCCACACTGGTTTGGGCCTAGGCCCTAACGACTCAGGATTTCGAGCTTCAGGCTTCAGGGCTCCCGCTAGAACGCCAGTCCAGTCATACGTGGATCCAAGGTCAGGGGGCACCTGGGTTCTGAAGTTCCTGTTACCTGTACGCCAACAAGCCGGTGTTCCTTGGAAGACGAAAACACCACAAGCTTACGCCCCCAAACCGTTATGAGTTATGATTACTATTACGGCTCATTTTGGAATCCTGACCTTCAATAAACCTCTCCGCCGAGGGCCCGAGCCGTTCATCATTGCCTCAGAGTTGATGGATTAGGAACAGCACCGAAAGCGGGCGACGATATGACAGTTTCAGGTTTATTCGGGTTTCAGAGTTCGGGAAACGAAATCACTCCTACATACCCAAACCAGTCTTCAAGGATGCCACCGACAATCGCAGAACCAGCAGGGAAGGTACGTGAGGTGTAAAGGATTAAGGCTTCAACGTGCAATGCCTTTATAGTCATCCTACGATTTGCCCTAAACTTGAACATGAAACCTTATTGCAGCCAGCACTGACCGGGATCAAGGCTTGTGGGTGTGGGGATTGGGGGCTAGATGATCGTTTCTGTTTGCACAACCTGCGTGATGGAAAAGTAGATGAACAGAGGCTAAAGGCCCAAACATGAACCGGAGCCCGCACCGAAACCGTAATCTTCAGGATTTCTGCAGAAAAACCTGGCAGAACTTCAAATGCGGCTCGCAGGGCGACTTCATCCGTGCCTGTCCCGGTTTTCAACAACCAAGCCCTGTGTTGGAATCCCAGGCCCCGTCTCTAGAAACGCAATCCTAAAGACCTACACGCCTATGACCGCCAGGCCTAAATTCCTAAGACCTAAGTTCTAAACCTGAATCCTAAACCCAAGCCCCTCGGCTCTAGACCGGGAAAGCAGACTCCTGCGAGCTTTGTGGGCAACTTTACGAAACACTTTTCAGCTCAGGACCATTGGTTGAAAGCAAACAGGAACCAACATGATCCCACGGCGGATACCCTGATCCTTCAGAAACCCCGATTGCCAAAACCAGTCATGTCTCCCTATAGACTCACAGGCTGCACACAGCAATCCCACGTAAACAAGCTGCGGTAGCTGAGAGCGGAACCATCGTCGAAAGGTCTGGTTGCAGACTATCCACGAAGCAACTGTTGAGCCCGAATCTGAGGCTTGGTTTGTTTCCGTATGATTCGCGGTAGAACTCTCCACCTCCATGCCCATTATTTCCAATTTTGTTCGCGGAATGAACGACACGGCTCAACCCAAGCAATAGCCGACCTTTACCTTCAAGATAAGCTGCAAGCGGAAGTCCCAAGACCCTGGCAAACTGAATCTGTTTATCTGCTCCAAGCGAGGTTCACTTGTACTGTATGCAATTAAGAGTTTGGGGTGTGCGTTTCTTCTGTTACTGTGTGTCCTGTCCTGCCTAAGCCTGCAAGCTTTAGGCACCGCAGCCCTGCAGTGATCGTCCCTAACCCCGAAGCCTCGGGTAAGGGCTGGAGGATTACACGACCTCGCCGTAAAACCATCGATGACTTTTAGCAACATCTGACAACACCCTATAGCTATCCAGATTAAGCTACAGGGCCTAAATCTACATGTACATATGCATACATGTACCCAGACTTCTACAGTCGGCCAATCAAACATCATAGTCATAACATATGCATTACATGCATGCAAGGATACACTAAATGCATGTGTGTATGTAGGTTTATCAATACCTGAATGGATGGATGCGCCTGACAGATGTCATGACAGTCCACGACACTGGTGCCCCCTTAGGCTCTGAGCCCTAAAGCATCCTAAACCCTTCCAGAGCCCAAAGCCAACCTAAACCCTGACTTAGGCCCTAAACCCTTGCTCCCGTGGGCCTGAATTTAAGTCTAGGTTCAGGGATTCCACGACCTCGGCGTTACCGTAAGACTGTCGATGATGCGAGCAACAGATGACGAGACCCTGTGGAAATCCGTACGGAGGCAGACTGCATGAGTGTCGGGTAGGTAGGCTAGGTAAGGTAGGCTAGGTAATGTCATGTCATGTACAGCTTTTTCCGCGGGGTGGCGAAGTTCGCACGTGCGACAACTACGGCCGGCCGGGATTGGATGGGATCCCAGCATGGGAGACCCCTCGAAGAGACATTTTCAACGAGGACAACTAATATACCCATGCGTACATGAATACAGACATACGTACATACACACACATAAACAAACAAAGATATGAATACTATAGAGAGAGAGATGTATGTATATATATATATATACACATACTCATAAAATGTACACAGTAGAATGGATGCGGTGCATGTATACATTCTTGTGTATATACCATCTTATGTTGCTCCATGCCTCCCACTCACCCGTCTGGAACGAAGCGTGTCAACTTCAGGTTTCGGGTTTGGGCTTAAGTGGCTTGATGACTTTTCTAGATCCTAATTGGGCGCCCAGGGTTGATGGGGCAGGGGTTTCGGGGTGTTGAGGTTTCATGCCGTGTTTACAGGGTCATCGGCCTTATCAGCATTGCGGCTTCAAGGTTAGCATTGCAGTTTAGAGTTGAGGTCTGGGGTTTGCCCGTGCTGGTACAGTGTAACAGTGGCGCGATCAGATTAGCATAAGGCATTTCACACGCGAGTTCCATGGACCAGACATATTTTGTGAGTATTGCAAACACCTGCTTCCTGAATTTTATAGTTTCACAGTCCCCTCTTATTCTTACCTTACCTGTTGAGGCTCTTACCATGGCCTGTGCAAGACAAACGAAGCACTCTTTACGCGGGCTAGGTCCGCTAGGTGCTGGGGTTTATGTAACTTTGGGAGCTGAAAGCTTCGCAAATCGCCAATTGGTGAGAATACCATACTTGGAGACATTCCCCTAATGCCATGTAGCTTGAAACCCACACTCATGAGCTGCCAGAAGTCTGAAACCTACTCCCAGGCTCCGTGCCCTTGGTTTGTGGCTGGATCGAATTGGCTGCTGTATGGGCGGAAACTTTTCAAGAGTCTTAGACGGGTAGGGATCCCCAATAGGGACCCTACATCTTCGAGAGGTATCCGACTTGCTAAGCCCCCAAAAGGGTCGGTTGATGTTTCCTGAGCAAACGAGGAACGGGAGAGCGAGGGGCGCAACAGAATCGCCTGGAAGCTTTGAAATCAGTACAAAATCTAGGGTGCAGGCTTTGGATTTAAGATGTTCAGAATTCAGGATGGGTTAAGGGCCTCAGTGTCAAGGGTTTGGGGTCAATAGCCAACCTAATTCGCATGCAAAGACTCTCTAAAATCCCGTCATTTCGCTCTTTGTCTGGGGGCCGAGAAGAACCCGAATGTAGAGGACTATTGATATGACCGGTGATGAAAGCCCAGGAATGACTCATCAAGTTTGAATCGAGGCGATGGATTTCGGACACCCCCCAAAAGTGATGAGGGTCTGGAGGGAAAGGATCTATCAATCAAATACACGGCGGATCTACGGCCTCTTCACAGGGTGTAGGATCTTGGTCATTGCTCAAACTGGAGGTTTGGGGCACACAGCAAGCAATCACTCGCTGAGCTTTCTAAACTCCAAGCTGGTCTGACACCGAAATGCAAGCCCCTAAACGGTCGAAGGCAGCTGCGGCCTCAGGCATCTCCCCGGGTTTGTTGAACCAAAACTGCAGCTGGACAGCTCTGCTTTGGTCTCGCCGCAGAGCTTCTCCCTGGTCTTTCGGACACGGCGGGAGTGAAACCTTAAAAAAAGAATCGAGGGACTGAAATGCGAAGGCATTCTTCGCAACCGCCGTCCCCGCATGACCCCGCGCCGGATTTGTGAAGTGCCTCCACTGGACTACGATTATCGATCCCCACAGCCGGAATCCAACATGCCAGACCATCCAGGCAGCACCCGGTTAATGATGCCCTGGCACACAGGGGCCCCTACAGGTCACCCAGCAATTTCTGCCTTTTACCTTCGATAGGGGGATCCGAATGAATGACATCCAATGACTTCACACCCCCCAATTCTTCTATAGCTAGCACACGCAGCCCTGAAGCAAACACTCTAAACCCCAGACAGCACAGTTTTGGAGCCACAGTTGCCAGATCGCCCGAGTAGTTTAGATTCAGGTTGTCTAGGTGCGTTGAATGCTTCTGAATCCGCTGAAACATATTTTCAGGATTTTGTGGGTATGGCTTTGTACGGATGTATTGATCGCGGGTCTACCATCACTCGGAAGCGGTGCCAAAATCGATGAGAGCCGGAAGCGAAGAAGACCCTCTGGTAAAGCGGATGTGACCGCGACCGACCAGCAGGGGCTCTTGGAACCCTCAAGGCGATGTTATTATTGCTTGAACAGTCTTGGTCACCGGTATACGCTGTGTGTTTAGTTATGCCTGTCCTTGTAGGTGAATCAATCAGCGTTTTTCCTACGATCCGTGTTGTCTAAATCTCGGGATTTGGTGCCCGAGCTGTGTTTGCAGGACCTGTGTCGTTGCAAAGAGCTAAGATCCAAGGGTCAAGCGGCACTTACGAGCTTCGTGTTTCAAATCTTGCGTTTGGAGTTTCTAGATCTTCAAGGGCTTAGAGAGCCTTTAGGGTCTTGGGGTTCGGGATTTCGGGTCTCTGGACTTAGGGGGGGGTTGCACGTTCCGGTAAACATCAGATACTGCTACTGCTTGTGTTTCACGACAGCAACGCCTGTTTGCCGGACAGAGTCGCAGGCGGCATCTCAGGGTGTCTTAAGCGCAATTCTTCTCTGTGCATCGCCCGACGAAACGGGCTCTCCTCACGGCTGTGCCGGCTCCTGGCTCAAGGATCCGGAGGACATGGCGAAGAGGTGGGTGTAGAGCGGGAAGGAGGCATAGATCAAAGCGATGAAGAAGGTGAAGACGTAACCCATGTGGATGGCTCTGCTGTGGTACTTCTTGGGGATCTCCAAGGCCGGCGCTGGGACGACCTTCTGCCAGCCCAGGCACATGTGCGTGCTGAAGATGATCACAGCCGCCAAGTAGAAGAGCACCCAGCCCAGCGACTGGAAGATCTCGAACTCCATGCGGTAGATATCGCGCACGTACACCGCCTGGCATCCTGGGGTGTCAACCCAGAAGAGGTTCAGCCTCAACTGGAGCAGAGTCGCCCTTAGCTGTGGCGCGAAATGGGAAAAAAGCGCATTCGGGTCTGGGTCTGGCGGCAACTCGGGTTTAAGTGCTCAGAGTTCAGGGCTGGGGTTTGGGGTTCAGGATGTTTTGTTTGGGGAATCCTGGACTCGGGTTTAAGGCTTCGCGGATAAGTGGCAAGTTCAGCAGGTATGGCGGCGGGCAGAGCTTCCAGGGCTCAGTGTCGCCGAAGCGGAACCTGGGACTTGGGCTTCAGGCGCAGGGTTCAGATTAGATAGGGCTTTCTTTTATAAGGCCTTTAGGGTTTTGGTCTTAAGGTTTAGGGGGCCGGAGGTCTAGTTTGTGTAACCTTCAACTCTCCAAAACACGATGCTCTGTCTACTCCAGCCTCTGCAGTGCAAATCAGGTCATGTGTGATGAAAAGATCTAGATTGTATGTGCCGTTCCTGCGCACCGATGCTCCTGCACAAGCCGTACAATGGTAACAGCGTATTGGGGTAGGTAAGTTCAAGACGGACCGTAGCCCTAGCTTCCGGAAAACAAAGGGCAAGCTAGGGGTCTGCATGGCTACTTCCGGAGCGAACACTCCTGCAGCCGACACGGCCTTCAACATCATCCGAAAAGCATACCGGATCAGGTTGTTTTGTTCTTTTGAGTGCCTTCCGCATGTCTCTCTGGAGCCTAGAACAGGGCCAGGCCCCGCGATCTGGGCTTCTCCGTGAGACACAAGCTTCGATGAAAGACTGTCAGACAAGAAAGCTCAATTTTGTTGGTCGATGTGGGGTTTAGGATTTAGGACTTAAAGGTTTAGGGCTGAAAGTGAAGGGTGTTGGGCTGTGGGTTGGAACTGGTTTGAAAAGCACTCAAGCACGTTGCAGATCAGTTTTGGGATGTACACATAACCAGACTCAATTAATAGACTTCCTCAACCCCGAACCCATGTTAGTCCTAAACCGTCCTGGCTGTTTCGGTCCAGCGGCTGGTACAGGTGGATCATCCTTGGCACAGGGTGGGGTGACGTGGGGTGGACAGCGCTGTTCTTAACATACATACATCTTTTCGGGCCTCCTCTGTCACTTCAACAAAAGACCGACCGAAGCCCATCTACTCCAAATCCTGCGCTCCTAGGCTCTGCCCTTAGCTAGACTTGAACGGACTGCGATGTCCGCCGAGCATCATGAACGTGAGCAGCGTCACGCCGGAGAAAGCAAGGTTAAGCTTGCCAGACGCAACCTCGGATGAAAGGCGGCCGAGGCTTTAGGGGTAAGGGGTTTCGGTAGAGGGCTTGGTGGTTGGGCTTCAGGGTTTAGGAAGAGTGTTTGGGAGTTGAGCCGCCTAGCCTAGGGGTGTTGGATGGTGTTGGCGTGCTGTGGTTTGAGGTTTGGCACCTGGCACACACAACCTTAACCTGGGCTCGTGCTGAGGAGCTTCTTTTCAGTTGACATGTTTCGGTGAAGTCAAGTGATCATATATGTATGTCTACAGTTTTGGTACACGCTTCGCTTTCTTCATTATGGCAACTGAACCTAAGTTCTTGAAATCTTCTACGATGCGGCGAGCTGCAGAGTAGTTCATGCTGATGTCCCAGGTCCTCTTCAAGGCGACGAAGACGTGCAACAGTGCGGCAAGCAGGATGTACTCCTCAGGGCTTCCCGCTTCAGGAGTGCTGTGATGAGTATAATTCTCATCATTGCTTCTTATCGTTATTGCAGCTGCTTTTAAAGCTACACTGTATCCGCTTTCTAGTTTAAGTTTAAGCTTTGAGTGCTGGGGCTGATGGTTTTGTGGTGGTTACATGTGTCTAGGGTATGGGAGTTACAGTGTACGGTTTACAGTTCAGGGGCCGGGAATGTTCGTGCTGACGGTTTGGATCTGGCAGCTTACGGTTCGGTGTTTACGGCTATAAGCTGAATGACTTTGGCCACACCACATTTCTTGAGGCTTGGTACGTATGACACACCGGTAAAGCCAAAATTCCCAAACCCACCAAACTCAAACCCAACATCACTACCAACACACTGCAACGGGCATGGCATGTTGGTGCCTCGACGATGTTCGCCTGGAAACCGAAACCAGTCCAGTAGAGACCTCGAAAGTTAGGGCTTCGGGTGTTTGGGGTTCAAAGACCATGGGTTCAGTCTTGCTTTGGGTTCAGGGAGGGTTCGGTGTCTGTGGACCTGTAACCTGAAAGGCTGAAACACCCCCAAATGCTGCGACCCCGAAGAGCTCCGGAGCATCCGGCAAGGCACGCACATAGAAGTAGCCGTAGCCGTTGAAGTCATCTGGGCCTGCTTCCCAAACGCTATGGCCGCCATGGGCCCCGTACTCTAAACCCTACATCCTAAACCCTCTAGGCTCTAGCAGAGGTTCAAACATTGCGAGTGTTAGGTTTTGCAGAACCCAACTGCCCCCGATTCGACCATAGATGCCCGTCCTTATATAGTGTCCAGAATAGGTATCTGTTGGAACTAACCTGGGGCGTGCTGACATCTTTGCAGCTGGGGACTCAAACCTGACCGAAGGTTTGGTGACTGGTGCAAATAGACCAAACCATTTTTTGTAGTCAACGCGATGGTCTCTTGAAGCCGTGCAAACTAATTATGAAGTCGTGCTCCATCCCTCAAAGATCCCGGCAGTGATGCTGGAGCTGCCTGATTTCTTCCTGCTTTCTGATTCCATGGTCCGAAGGACCTGCTAACTAGGTTTCGGGTTCGGGGTGGTAGGGTTGGGGATTCAGGGTTTCGACTGTAGAGTAAGGCTTTGCAGGCGACGGTCTAGAATTCACGGGGTCATTTTGGGATATAGGGGCTTGAGAGTTTAAGTTCAGGGTGTTGGGGCGTTGGAGTGTAAAGCTTAAGGCCCCCACCCGCCAAAATAAGGCCCCTTCCCGGGGCCTAGGAACACGTGCAGGTTGCCCACGGCATGGATGATAATGAAGATGAAAAGGAACCTCTGCTTCTTGAGACTTTGCCGAAGACCTCCTTCCTACACTTACCAAGAACCAAAGCTCAAGGTACCAAAAACACAAGCAACTGAGGATTTGGAGCAAAATGCCTCAAAAACTTCAGATACTCCCAGCAGGAAAACAAACTAAAGGCTTCATCAACTTCAAACCCCGATTTGTTGGAGGGCGCGGGCTTATGGATTATGGTTGCTTCCAGTGCTTCTTTGCGGCTCTGAAACGGAAGGAACCCAAACTCTTGCTAGATAATGGCACCAAAAAAGGAAACCGGATGTCCAAAAGAGCATTCAAACAGAGCATTTCCGCAATTATAGCAATGCAGGCAGAGACTCGTGCACACAAAGTATATATAGCTTTGCAGTGGAAGGGCACCGAGGTGCAGGACTGACTGGAGGCTTCAAAATTACAGGGCTTAGGGTTGATGTGGCGATTTGTTTCAAGCTTGTCTTTTCTGCAATGTCATGTGGATGTGGGTTCAGGTGAGGTCTCAAGAAGCTTCTGTGCACGCGCAGGTCTAGAGTTTGGGCGTTTAGGGAACCACAAACAAAGGACTCTGACTTAGAGAACTACCCTACTGCACCAAAACAGCCCAGTGGCATGGCGGAGCGGGTGAGACCGACGCGGTCACCAGTGATGGTCACATTGCTTTGCGGCACAATGGTGAAGAGAATCTCTTTCATGAAGCCCAAGACCTTGCGCTTCGATTTCGGCTTCAGAAACGTAAAGTCTTCATTGAAGGGTTCGGCGGCTTGGGCTGCTTCCAGGGTTTCAAGCCGTAAGCCTACTACACCTCGATCCACAAAGCATCAATCCGATCTCGTGGTGGCTGTTTCGATGTTACGGCTTGAGGGATCTGAAACCAAGCCGCCATGTAGAAAATCGCACCAATCCAGCCGGGGATTCTTCCTTCGCCTTGGAGGAGTTTCTCGGATCGAGGACAGGCGAGTTTTGGATATAGGGATTGCGGCTGCGCGCCGTGCACGCGTCTATGTCCCAGAGGCTTCCAACCTCTTTCCAACAATAGCATTGCAACCTAATGAAGGTCCGGCCAACTGCACGCAGAAACTAACGCTGTCGGACAGCTCCGGGAACCTTGAACCTATGCCCAAGCCCTCGATCGCATGAACCCTGAAACCCCAGAAACATGACCCGACAGCTGCTGAGCAAGGTGCCCTTCATGCGCTGCTCCCGGTTCTTCTCTGCCCTTGACCAGTCCTTGCCCTGTGCATGTAGCTTCGGGGGTTTGGAGGTTTAGACATAGCACAAGACCAAGCGATCGTCAAAGCTTCTCACCCCCTGCCGCTGCCTTGTGGCCATCCTTGGCCAGCAACGGGGCATCCAGTCCGCCCCCGGCGGCAGGCGCGGCAGCCGGCGCACCGGAGCCGACCTGCACCGGGCCACATGATCAAAGGGCCTGAGCATGCCCCTGAACCTCAACCTGAAAGCTCGTCCATTACATAGCTATCCTAAACCTTATGCCCCAAAGGTGCTTTTAAGGCTCTGCATAAGCGAAACCAGTTCTTTAACCTGCAACCTTTGCTCAAGTCTTGAAAGCCTTATCCGAGTCCTTAAGATTGCCCTTGCGCCCTGAGAACACAGACAGGACCCAGGCATGCTGGAGCTTTAATTCTTCCTGGCTCAATAGGTCAACAACCCTGCGACAACCCAGCGGAGGATCAACTGGCGAGAAATCCAACACGACAATAGGACATGTCACCAACTCGTCAGCCCTGAAGGCGTAGGCACGGGAAATTCAACGAGTACAAGTTGAAGACATGGCATTTAATAGCCCGAAATCCCAAGTGTGACGTGCTATCCTCGGCCGGTTTCCCGAATTCCGGACCCCCAAACCCTCTCGGCCCCTCGGAGGGCCTTGCCGATGACAGAATCGGGGGCATACTTTCCGATCACATCCGGTGGGTGGATCCTTGAATGCTCCCTTAAGAGTTCGTTTGGGCTGCTGAAGCTTTTGCAAGAACACAGCCCAAGCAAAGTTCGAACTTGTGCATACAGACCACACATGGCAACTCACATATAATCATAGCCCTACGGGCAAAATAACTATTTGAGATAGCTGGTGTGTCATAGTTTGGGATTCAGACTTGTAAACTTAGTTTTCAGACCCTGAACCCTGGGTTCTTTTAAGAGCTTCTTAACTTTGGGGCTCGACCCTACCCTTCGTGCAGGACGGCGTCATGTTGAACTCCTCTGTGGCATCCTTGCCTGCACAGTTTGCAGTCCAGAACCCGCTGAACAGACACCCCAATCCTTGCACTGTAACTCGTAAGCCTTGAAGCCTGAACTATACCAAACTAAACTGAAAACACCAACTTCTGCCGATGTGTCTTGTGCAATTGCTTGCGAGCCTGAGCAGAAGGGTATGCTACCAAAGCGCAGTCTTAAACAAGGACCACCAACTAACCTCAACTCATACATGCGGGTGTCAAATGTACTTCCTCAAGCCTGCATCCGAGACGGCACCATGCCAGTAGAGTGAAGACATCCGGGAGCCTTTGCTACCTCACCTGCCCAGCCCTCATATACTCACCAGGGCGTTTTCTCCCCATACTTTTGCCAAACCTTTCCACCTGCTTCCAATAAAACCCTGACAATGGTATTGCAGGCATATGAGCACCGTCCACAACCTAGCGTAATGCTGAGCCCCTGCTGTGCAGCCTGAAGCCAGTGGATGTCGGTTTAAACTTAGCTTTGAGGTTTGGGGCTTGAGTAACACAAGTTTTCGAGCATCCAAGACCCAAATGGACCCAAATGCCCTGAAAAGCCGCATTGTCGGGCTCAGACTTTCGGCCAATATTCTGACGAGTGCAATCCCTCGCAAGCTTCCGAACCCCTTGGTAACGCGACAGACTCTGGCCCTGGACCTGAAACTCCGCTACGCTGCTCTGGAATAAACCACAACATGACTGTTGAGGAGCTCCGCCGGAATCATATCAGGGATGATATTTCAGGCATAGCATACCGGCGGTGGAAAATCTGGACGTTTCTCTGACATAGGAAACTCCCGGGAAGAATTCAGACCCTGTAGAGACCAGATCAAGACCTCACAGAGTCCCTTTTGCCGTGAACCACAAAGCCCCAACTCCAACTGCAAGCCCAAAACTCACCTTCGACCTTCACGTTAAATTGAATAATCCGCAAGCTTAACCTCTGAAACTTCCGAAATCTAAGCCTGCGAAAGTGAGGATGGCCAACTCGCCGCCCGGGTGTTCCGAGAGGAATGAGGTGACGTCCAAGACCTGGCGAGCTCAAAGGAGTTTTAGGGAGTTTGCAGATTTGTTCACGGCTTAGTGAGGGGTGGTTTTGGCATCGAGATTTTGGCTTTTGTCGTTTAATTTAAGCTCCCATCTCTTGCCTTTATCGCAACTCGGAGGAGAAATGGTTTGGGGGTGCTCATGTTGTTGCGTGTGTGGGCGGTTTAGGGAGGGCTGGGGACGTATAAAGGGGTTTCGAAGAACAAGGACATCCGTCAAGTGAGCCTAGCCGCACCATCTGCTTCAAAAACCCGGCGCTGACAACCTTTTCTTTCACTGGCAGATTCGTGGCTTCCAGGTCTGAAAGCTCACACCTCAGAATCCGAAACCCCCACATAAAGCCAGTGCCTGGCCATCCACCACCACCTGAGGCGTGTTGTAGGCTTGATCATATGCTTTCTTGGAATGAAGGGGAACTCATGGTGTGGGGCTCCACCTAAGGATGATGCTACTCTCATAAACTGCAACGAAGCACCCACAGCGCTATCCCAACAGTTTCGGGACCTGGACCCTGAACTCCCCGGCCTAGACTCCGACACCTAACCCCGAAACACTATGTAGCCCCTAAACCCTGAAGCTCAAGTTCAACACACCCGTTTAAGCTTAATTTTGGTGTCAGCGCCGAAGGCTTGCGTTTCGGGTTGAGGGTTCAGGCTGGCAGTTCAGGTGCGGCTTCTCTGAACTTGATTGCAGCCCTGGCCCTAGCTGGCGAAACAGAGAAAGTCTGCTCATGACTCTTACACTCTGTCCCCGTCCCCGGCAGACTACTCCCACTGCAAAGTCTAAGGTTTGGTGCCTCCAGTTTAGTGGGGGGAGGCAGATCTCGTGAGCCCCCACCCCACACCTTAAGACGCTATTATTCCTCTCTGTGGTGCGGTTCCCTCTTAACCCGCTCGTCTTTGGGTTAAGGTTCGGGGTGTCTGGAACGAGGGAGCCAAGACAGGCGGTCAAGATAAGTGGGCGACACCCCGGATCCCTACCAAGGCCCCGCTGTCAGGCTTCCGACTAAAGTTCCCCGAACACCCCAGGAGCTCTAAACTTCGAAGGCTTCTCAGGATCCAGCCCAGCAGTCTGCTTTGCTGTTGTGCTTGGCGACTTCCTCTCCGGTGGCAGCATTGAATGCTGTGTTCAGGGTGATTTTGGGGCTTGAATAGTTTAGGCTCAGGACGATCGTCAAGGATCTGATGGCCTGACAACGGAAACTGTGTAAATGCACAGCGAACCGGTAAAAGCCCCCTAACCCCACGAAACCTCACGAAACCATCCCCCCTTTTATTAAGCAACAACACTTCGAAAACACCACTGAAAATTATGCACGCCTTTCAGGACCAGCTTTAAACTACAGGTTCAGGAGCAAGAGCAAATAGGAGCAACAGCAACAGCACGAGCAAGAGCGAGCAAGGGCGGGAGCAAGAGCCGCAGCATGAGCAAGAGCGGGAACAAAAGCCAGAGTAAGTAACAGAGCAAGAGCAAGAGCAACAGATCAAGAGCAGGAGCAGGATCCGCTCAAAGTGACAAGAGAGAAGAAGCAACCTTCACAATGACGACGCATTTCGAATGAGCAGGGACGCTAGTTACTCTATCTCTTCAAACATCCTAAACTACCCCACGGATGGGACGTAAACTCGAACCGCTAAACGACTCTGTGCTACGTGATGCCGCGTCCCGATCTCTACTCGACATGAAAATCTGGTTGCTGCCTTGATTTTTCCGTCTGCTTCTGGGGGCTCGGGTTTGCAATCGGGCTCCCTATCTAAGTGGACTCAGGAAAGGAAGCCGGAGACTTCAATTCTGCGAAAAAGCAGGGAAGCTGGGTTGGGTGGAACAGTTCTACACCTCTATTTATTTGGACCTGGGTAAGGGTTCAAAATGCTTGACTGAGTTTGCATGGATTGCAATGGGCATCGGGCTTCGGTTGGGGTTGGGGGGACTTGACCGTCTTGGGTTCTCAATGCGACCTGTAGGTCTAAGTCCCGTGGGCTCAGGATTCGGGCTGACTGCGTTTGCCCCGTTACAAGCAGCCCTCTGGCCCAGGCACGTCCGAATCAGGCCTTTCCAAGATACAATTCTTAGGATCCCAGCAGAAGATGAAGAACGTCCGGAGCCCCAGTTTCTTCACAATCCCCTCTCCTCCAATGTGATGCCACCACCGCCACCGCCACCGCCTTCAAAACACGATGGCTTCTGGAAAGGATCTCGACCTAAAGTCCTACTTCCTGGGGTAGCTTGCACAAGGCGAGAATTGCGGTGTGGGTGTGACCAAGTCTACGCTGTCTACACTGGATGGAAGTTCTCTAAGGCCCTGAACAACCTTTGTCATCATCATTAAGACCTGACAGGGAATCTTCGGCATCATCCCTCCCAATGGCCGGGAAACGTTTTGTGTCCTGACGGCTCAGGGAATACATAGCCAAGCCCTGCGGCCTACTTACATCTTCAGCCCTAAATTTACATCCCTTTTTTGCCAAGGTGCTATATGGTTAACCACCGACACCCCCTCGCCAGATCAAGGCCCAAACCCAGATACCTGAACTCCGCGCCTCCAGCGGCCGCTACAGCACCGCCACCACCTCCTCCGCCACCGATCATGCCGATCACCGAGTCGGGAGCATACTTACCGATGACGTCAGGCGGGTGGATCCTTAGGCTCAATTCGGGGTGCTGAGGCTTTGCTCAAAAGCAGCAGCAAGAGTCATGCAGAACTGCACAGCGGTACGAAATGTGTTCACTGTAACATGATGAACAATCAGAAAAAGAAAAAGAGTACGTCGCAGTGAAACCTAAATGATAACCCAGTGGTGACAACGAGAATGGTACCAGAATTTGTTTAGTAGTCGTCGTCGTAGTCGCAGTCGTCGTCTCAATCGTAGTCGTAGTCGTCTTGTACTCGTAGTTGTCGCAGTCGCAGTCGTTAGTGGTAGTAGCAGTAGCAGCAGCAGCAGCAGCAGCAGTTGCAGCAGTTGCAGGAGCAGCAGGAGCAGGAGCAGTAGCAGGAGCACGTCAGTAGAGAAACAAAACCAGCAGGAGCGCAGGAGCAGAGGAGCACAGGGTAGACTGGCCCTATGACAACTGGTCAAAACGAGGAACCTCACGAAGTAGTAATGTACTAGCAGTAGTAGCAGTAGCAGTCGTCGTCGTCGTAAGAGTATTCAGAATGCCAACAGCTACCAATGGCAATGACAATGGTAATGATGGTGAGAAAATGCTTTCTATGTGTGTGCGCGAAATATATATATATATATATATATATATATATGTACACACACAGACACACACTTATGCGAGTTTGGGGCTGCACGTTGTCTTGGTTCTTGCTTGAATGATAGGCGAATATCGGATTCTTATCGGCTCTACACGGTCCGCGCAGATAGATAGGTGGATAGGAGCATAGACAGACGAATTGACTGATGCAATGAAAACTTGAAAATGATAAAGAGATTGACAGAGAGATATAGATAGACCGCTAGGTAGATAGATGGAGGGACAGATAGATAGATATGTGCATACTCATGTATGAACATACCTACATAATCACATGTGTATATATATATATACATACATATAGTATACATATATATATATATATATATATGTATACATCATCTGTACAAGTAGACATACATATATGTATATACCTTCAAGCAACATATGTGAGAGAGAGAGAGAGCGTTTCCAGATCCAAAAGTCGAAAGACATGCGAATGATCTTACACCAACCCCAGTGTCAGGCCTTGGATTCGTGGCTCCAGGGTTCGTGCATTGAAAGTGTGGATAGAAGCCATGAGTGTTCAGGCTGCAGGCTTTATGCACGGGTATCATGATAAAGGTCCTCAAGGTTGCAGGGCCAAGAAGCTCGACCTTCTGGGGCAGAGCTTAGAAGGGCTGTTGGCACTGCGGGGTTGAAATTTTAGGCGTGCGGATCTTGGCTTAACACCTGGAGGTGAAGAGATGCACGACTTAGATTCTTGAGAGTTTAAAGGCCAGGTGTCATGTTGAACTCCTCCGTGGCATCCTTCCCAGCGAAGGTGAGGATAGCCAGCTCGCCACCGGGGTGCTCCGACAAGAAGCTGGTGACGTCAAGCACCTGGCCATCGACCACCACCCAGCAGTCCGTCTTGGTGTTGTGCTTAGCAACATCTGCAAGGCTGATGCCGCCACCACCACCGCCGCCAGCCGCGGGTGCAGCTGCAGCGGCCGCCGGGGCAGCAGAGTTCATCTTGTCCTCGTAGGAGCCGCCAGCCAGCTTGGAGCTCTGCACCGCGCCTGACAGCCCTCCGCCGGTGATCTGCATCAGGTCCACATCCTTCATGTCGGCGCCCAACATGTACTTGGCGGCGGCCTTACCGGCCACGCGGCCGAACACCACGCAGTCCAGCAGGGAGTTTCCTCCCAAGCGGTTGTTGCCGTGCACGCCGCCAGCCACCTCGCCGGCAGCGTACAGGCCCGGGACGGCGAGGTTGTTGGAGCCGACACAGGCGGAGTCCGTGTCGATGAGGAGACCACCCATGCAGTAGTGGATCACAGGCGTGATGATGGCCACGTAGAAAGGCTCGGACTTCACGGCAGAGCCCGGAATGATGTTGTGGTAGAACTTCTTGCCGCTCCCGGTCTTTCCGCTGGCCTCATCCCAGCACTTGCCTGAGGGGTACGCGGGCCATTTGCCTCCTTCGGGATCCTTCTCCATCATCTTGGCAGCCTGGTAGTGGTCCTCGTGGGCCTTCTCGATCACGGACAGGGGGATGCCCATGTCCTTGGCCAAGTCATCACCGCTGTTGTAGTACTTCATGACCTTGAAGCAAGCAAAAACTGTCTCACGAGGGCAAGAAGCTCACCGCCAAACTGTACCGTTTTATTGTCTACCAGCGAAATAAACGATCGCTGACATGCAAACCTGTTTTGCACCCTTCGGCCAAGCAATACCACCGCTTTGCGGATTGAAGTTTAGTGGTGTGGAGGGCTTTAGCGTTGGATTTCAAGTTTTCAAGTCTCTGGGGTGAAGGTTTTGCTTGTTGCCCAGGCTGCAACAAAATCCTGAAGCCTGAACCCTTGAAGCCTAGACTCCAAACCGCAATTAACGCCCAGGCCCTAAATTTTAAAAGCCGGAAGCCCATGAAGTCCATGAGAGAAGGGGTGCCGGGGACCCGGCTCCACGGCCAGTGTAGTGCCTGTTGGGCAAGGTTTCGGGCTCAGGGTTGAGGGTTCTCTTTTTGAACCCTCTTTTCCTCCTGCCCGGTTAGGAGTCGGAATGCCAGGTTAGGGTTCAGGGTTGCTGACATGACAAGGAACAGCCAATGTTCCAGACTGTCTGGCTTTCCCGCATTGGCGGACTGCGATTGACACAGGAAACACCATATGCCCCAAATCTCGAGCACGAAGTTACGTGTAGTTCCTCTACGCTGAGCAAGCTATCCAAATTCTGCCACGCCTGTCGGGAAGATGGATTGTTATATGCCCCTTATTGACTAGGCTCCATGCCGAAAACCATAGAGGGTTCTGGCTTGGCCAGTTCTGATACAGAAATTGGGCTACCACATTTTGAGAGCTGGGCTACTAAGCTTGGAGCTGGGCTACTTCAGGGGCTTCGGATGTTAGGATTCGCTGCTCCAGCGTTGAGATTCACATGAATCCTACATCCACTCATGCCAAGGCTGCCAAGGCCCAGCCCTAAACGGACCTTGCTTTACACACGAAACCTACATAACACATGTACAGAATGAGAAGGAATACCATAGAGCCAAACAGGCACGTACCGTAACCCAACATGGAAAACCCACCAAGGCGTCGACTTGCAGTGCCAGATGATCTCGTCGCTCGCGGCCTTGTTGAGGCAAAGCCTGGATCAGCCGTTGGCTCAGTCAGGGCACATAGGGCTTGGCCTGAGTGCCTCATAGATACATAGTTTCTGCAGGGTCTGCGGGGTGAGCAATCAGGTTCCCAATGACCCCTCGGCAACAGGCCCTTGCTTTCTCCAGCCTGAACGGGGGAGTTGACAAGCAAGGTAATACGGGCACTAGTGGGGACTGGCTTAATCAGAGGATTCGACTTACCCCTTGTTGATCTGCCCATTATCATTGGCTCAGTCCCACCCGTAACCCCTAAACGTGACGGATCCCGCATCCACGGGCCCCAAACACCAAGTCGTTATCGTTAGCGTGAAATGACAGCAACAATACCAACAAGACTGGCAATGCCATCCATATTGGCCTTGGAGGCAGCGCAGGTGCTTGTATTACTGGGAATGACAGTTCCAAGTATCGTGAGGATGACAACGCGATCAGAGTAGCGGTGAGCATCATAGTAACAACGGCGTGGCGAGACCAATAGCCGTCCACGATAATAAAAAGTCTGGCAGGTGTTATAAACTTTGTAGCTAGTAGCAGTTGTAAGACATAAAACTTACATTCAACGCCATGATGCTCAGAGCCCTGCTTGCTTCATCCTAAACCCGAAACCCCGCAACCATTGAAGATTCGCTCTCATAGACCCAAAAAGAGAAAGGCATCCGAGGAGCCGGAAAGGCGGCTTGCTCTTCCACATCTCGCCGGTGACGTAATCCCGGCCTTTCGCTAGTTTTAAGGAGTTTGGCGTGGGTGATTTTATGGTCTAGATGCTTAGGATGCTCAGAGCTTTCATGGCCAAGGGATTGCGATGACTTTCTGCCAAGATTTCCCACCCAAATCCTTTGCTTATTCATCCTGCATGTTCTGTGTTGATTTACGCATTGCATTAGGCCATCCTTAACAGCACCTTCATTACACCTCTCGTTATGGATTCCGTGGCGAAGATCTTTCGATTTTAAGGTTAGGGGTGATAACATCCGTTCGTTGGCAAATGTTGGTTTGGGGTTGCTAAGCACTGGTTCCGGGGGACAGTTCTGAGGGTAGTGGTCTAGTGACTGTTGGCTATTTAAGGGATAGTAACTATGATAGCAAACCCTTCTATAAAGAGAATACGGCCCTACTGACACGAAGAAAGCCAGCTCTTGTTTTGCATGCTCTCGCTTGTACTTGGAAGGTGCGAATAAGCAGTGAAACACCTGGGCTTTGCAGGCAAAAATAAAAGTACAAGAAGATCTAACTTACAAACCAATGATGTCTGACGCTGTCACAATCGCATGTCACATGACTCTGAAGCAAGTGCATCAGTGCATCAGATGTGCTTGTTGACATGCCATGCTGCCATGATCATGCCATGATGCATGAAGTGATCATGTGCACATGCCAGACATGGTCTCATATGCCGTGCGACATGCACCGATCCGACTTGATCTTCACATGGCCGACGGCATGCATTGCAAATTCATGACACTCAAGTCACTCAAGTCTTCAGTTGCACATGCTGTCATGGTGCATGCATGCATGGACCAGTGCCTTAGCAGAATGTGGTGCAGAGTCTATCCCTTTTTTCTGAAGATGCTGGCTTCTGCAGCAAGCCGGGGCAACCGCAACCCCCAATCAAAGGTCGCATAAGACCGCTGCCACATAGGGTCAGGTCCCAAAACTACTACGACCAATCACAGGGCAGGCCCGCGCATCATGGCATCAAGCTGTCATGTCATTTCATGTCATGTGTCTGTGCCGCTAGGCCTGCATATGCCGTCATGACTAGGTGCGGTGTGAGACTCATGACGCATGTGAGATGAAGCTGGGTGGCACAACTTGCACAACGAGGAAACCTGCGGCATCACTGCTGTATACTCTAGATTACTAGTCAAGCTGCATATAGCGAAGCTGCTGACATAAGACCATCCCAGTTTTTACTTCCGGCCCCTTCAGCGCAGGAGGAACTGGATGTCCGCCGAGGCCCGTGTGGATGCAACCAGCTTCGATGATGAGGATTCTTCCTTCTTCACAGCCTTCTTCTCCGCAAGCTTCTTGCTGTAGGCAATGCCTCCATGGAACAGCTCCTTGTCCTTCATCGCTGCTTTGCCGGCTTTTTGCCCGCGTCCACTTGCACTTTCAAAAGAGAAGGGTGTCCGTGTGAGTGCAAGCATGACATCGTCCAGTTGAGCCTCCAGGAAAACCAACTCGACTCAATTACTCTGGATTCTTGACTCTTCACACTCTTCACTCTTGACTACTCTTAGGACTCTGAAGAATACTATTCATTGCATGCATGCAAACTCATGCAAACATGTGGATGTCATGATGTCATGTGGGAAGGCCAGCCTTCACCTGTTCCACCGCAGACTCACGTGGCTTGAGCACTACATACGTGACAATGACATCCACCTTTGCACCGGTCCTTAGCCGACAAAGCCACAAACTTTATCGGGCCGTGGCCAGTCAGCGATTTTGTCATCCAAACATGCTGAGGCTCGCAACTGCAAATGTCATTGTGTCTTCTTCCGTTGTGACTTCCAAGGACGATTTCGGTGACCCTCTCTTGTCCGAGTCGGCCAGCGACTTCATAAGAAAGGCCGCACAGGGAATCTCCGAGGTAACCTTGTCGTAACCCGAAGGGTTCATGTAAAACTTGAGGCTGTTGCCCCCCAAATCGCACTGGGCAACCTCGGGTGAGATGTTGGCGAATGACTGAACTGATGTGACGCTATGCAGCTTGCGGTATTGACACATGAGGCACACGTGTCACATGTCTCATGAAGTCGCACGGCTCTCATGTCACTGAAAAACATGTTGGAAACGTGGACTCTGTATCTGTAGTCCAGACTCCAGACTGACACTCACATGGGTTCTAATCGAGAGCACCTCCATACTCTTCGGCCCAGCTTGCGTCGTGATGTTCCCGAAGCAGTAGAGCTTGAAGCCAACATCCTTGAACGATTTCGCATCCACGATGACAGGGTTCTTGGCGCCCGCTGTGAAGTCCAGCTTCACGGCATTCAAAGCTTCCAATGTTGTCAGAGCCTTTGACAGGAAATGGTTCTGTAATGAGTTCACAAGGCTCAGCACATCAAGGATGTTCATGCGGGGATCGGCTGCGTCATCCGGTGCGAAGGCAAAGGTGTACAGCTCGTTGATAGGGACTTGCGTTGGCATGATGGGGACATTTGGGCCTGCATGATCTTGTCCCGCATCCGCATTCCTCGCTTTGCAATCTCTAACGATGCCAATGCCAATGCACTGAAGTTACTGAAGTACCCAAGCCGTGCAGGGTGCAGGGCACGTGCTACATGTATCCTGACTGTCGTGACTTGCAAGCATGCATGATGCATCTCGTGATGACGACTGACCCGGACTGCCGGACTGACCGTGAATGCGACCGACCGTGACGGTGACCGGTGCCGGTGACCATTTCGCAACTTCTGACAGGTAACTTGCCCGAGCTCGGCGCAGACACATTCTTGTTGGGGCCGTCATGACCGTCATGTTCAACCTTAATCTGCTCCGGCTCAGGAATCCCCGAACCAGTCTGGGAATTGAGCATGTACTGAAACTTCTGCGGGATATCGATCCCGATGTCACCCAGTGCGGCTGGCACCTTCTTCGTGTCGAGCACATGTTGGAACATCTTGGTCCACGCGATTGACCATTGAGATTCGTCGCTGACGCACGTGGTCAGCAAGCCCTCCATTGCAACGACCGTGTCATGCGATTCCTTGAGGACCTTCACCGCTGCAAGCATGTCATCGAACTTGAAGTCTGTGGCCCGCCCCAGAACTGCATGCTTTGCCATCTTGGTGAAGGCTGCCTCTCGGCACCAGTGGCATCAAGACGTATGAGGCATGACTGGCTTAGTGAATCGTGTCCTGGATCATGGAGTCATGGACTCATGGACTCATGGACATAACAACATGTAGTGGTGCAGTGGTGCAGTGGTGCAGTGCAGCGGATTAACGACCGGTTTCACACGCCATGAATCTGCCATGATGATGACTCATGATGGTATGTGACAGTCGACGTGACATGATGACATGCCCCGTACGTGAAACCAACGCAAGCCTCACAAACGTTCAGGAGGTATGATGCACGGATGCACGAGAGAGTCGTCAAGGAGTCATTTTTCGGCTTCAGCATGGTGAATTCCACGACCTCACCAGCCTTGCAAAACAACTTCAGTCATCATGCTATTGCGACCAGCGACCACGATTGCACTTGTAACGCAAACGATTTGATGCACAACATGACATGTCGTGTCAACATCGTGAACATGAGCAGCATATGAGCATATGGCATGATTGCAAATCAGCCGGAACTAAACATTGCAGCTGGAGAAACATCCGTTGTGTAGGAGTCATGCTTGTCAAAGCAAAGGAAGTGGCAAAACTGCGGCAAAACATCCTTCATGTCCCCGCACCCCGGGTTTACTTCCGAGCCGATCTTGGCAACGACCGCCACAGCCAAGCTGGGCACAGCTGCCGGCACATGTTCGTAGATTGCCTCTGCAAACGTCCAAAGGCAATCGGACAGGCTGATGGAATAGGCCACCTTCTCCTCTGGCGAGCGGTCTAACTGCAATCTCTTGGCGACCATCTGCATGGATGCGGCGTAGGCAGGCTGATGTACCACATTCGTGTCGTTGTTGATCTTTGCCCAACGTTTGACAGCCTCTGCCGACTCGGCAGTGAGCCACAGGTTAACAGACTTGCTTCCAGGGGAAGTCTTCTTGGTTGCAGCATCAGCCTGTCCCAGCTCACTGGTCAGGAAAGCCACGATGTCTTCCGTCTGTCCCGCTGGCACAGCTGCCTTGAGTTTCTGCACAGCCTTTCTGATCACATCTTGCAAGGCTGCTCGCACCTCCAACAAGAAACATGCCGAATCCAGTGGACATGTGACATGCAGCGAAACGGATATGCGACGACATGATTCCGACATGCTCATGTGTCATGATGTCTGGTGCCATGTGTGCTATCGCTTATGCGAGGCCTGCCTGCGACCAGCATTTGCGCTCCTGGAAATTGATCTTCACCTTCTTGAAGAATGCGAGCTCGAGAGCATAGGACAGGCACATGGCGACCACGTCAGCCAGGGCAGGGTTCAACAGCTCGGGCATGCCTATCAGGCTATGTGGAGCGGGGCCGAAATGATTGACGTTGTAGGTTATATGAGATTGTAAACTATAAGCCGCCCTATAAGCGCCACTTTACGTATCAGTCGAACGCAAATTCTGGGTTCGAGATCCCACCGCCGCACCTCCAGCAGCGTGCACCATGCAAGCGAACACATCATCGATCCACCAACGCTTTCGGCTGGGGACATCGGTGTCCTGCTCACCGTCGTCAACACCCATCACCATAGCAACATCATCCTGCAAAGTGCCCGCTTCCTGCTGCGCCTCCATGGCGGATGTCGCTGCGGCGGCTGCGCGAGTCTTGGCTTTGGCTGTGGCACGTCTCTGCTTCTTCTTTGGCTGAGGGGTCAGCAAGTCGTTCACGTCCACGGCTGACGACGTGGCTCCGCCCGTGCCATCGGCCTCGCCTGATGCCGCTCGTTTCTTCGCAGCAGCTGCGGCAAGACGGTTGACGAAGGGGGCACCGGCGATCTCTGTGACCACTCGTGCGAAGACATCCGGCATGTGCTTGCTGAACATGAACTCAGGGAACTTGCGCTTCGCCTTTTTGACGGCACCTTAAATCTCTCTGCCAACCCGATCCGATGAC